TAATAATTATCATCATGATTATCATCATCACCATCATCATCATACATGTACATATAATTATTATTATTATCACTATTATCATCATCATCATCTGATCATCATCATCATCTTCTCCATCATAATCACCAACATAATAAAGATCACAATCATCAACATCAACATCATCACCATCATCATCATCCCCATCATCATCACCATCATCATATCATTGATATCATCGACATCACCATCACCATCATCACCACCACCATCATCATCATCACCATCCTTATCACCATCATCAAATCATTATCATGGACATCAACATCACCATCAATACCATTATCATCACAATCATTGTTGCAATCATTGTGTTCATCATCAACATCAACGTCTTCATCATTATAATTCTTGATAATCATTGTCTTCATCATAATCAGTCTCTTTTTCTTCATCATCATCTTAATGATCATCGTCATCATCATCATCTCTCAAGTTCCAAGGCAAGCCGTGCCGCCAGAGCGGGCACACCCAAGTCCTCATCGGAAGATGGCTCCAGCTCATGCGGCACGGTGACGTATCCACTGGACCACGTCACCTCATTATCATAATTCAATTCTATTCAAATGAGGTTTTATTCAAGACTTGTCAAAAAGTATAAGGAATATAAATGCAACATCAATCATACAATCATATAAAAAAGCATTCAAAAACATATAGAAAACACGATGTCTTCGTCATAATCATTCTCTCTTTATCTTCATCATCATTGTCATCATCATCATATCTCCAGTTCCAAGGCAAGCCGGGCCGCCAGAGCGGGCACACCCAAATCCTCTTCGGAAGATGGCTCCACCTCCTGCGGGACATCGTCCAGTAGCGATGAGACATCGGATGATAGTTGCTTCGACGCAGGACTAGGGACTGCATCGCGGTCATCACTCACCATGAAGGTACAGTCAAACCTGCTTTAGTGACCACCTGTCAGCAAGGACCACTTTTTTGTTTCCCTTGAAAATGGTTTCTCATTGAAACATGTACTAAAGGAACCTGTCTACAAAGACCACCTGTCTACAATGACCACATTTTTTTGTTTCCCTTTAAAATAGTTTCTCATTGAAACATGTACTAAAGGAACCTGTCTACAAAGACCACCTGTCTACAAGGACCACCTTTTTTGTTTCCCTTGAAAATGGTTTCTCATTGAAACATGTACTAAAGGAACCTGTCTACAATGACCACCTGTCTACAAGGACCACATTTTGTGTTTCCCTTGAAAATGGTTTCTCATTGAAACATTTACTAAAGGAACCTGTCTACAAAGACCACCTGTCTACAAGGACCACATTTTGTGTTTCCCTTGAAAATGGTTTCTCATTGAAACATTTACTAAAGGAAGCTGTCTACAAAGACCATCTTTTGTGTATCCCTTTGGCGGTTGCTGTAGACAGGTTTGACTGTACATTATATTTGTGCAGCTCCTCATGTCTAGTTTCTAAAGGCTTGTTTTCATATGACACTAAACTGCAGCATTTCATTATATATGATGATGTTTGAAGGACAAAATGGAGCGCTTATTGGAATGGGAAAGATGCATATGTTAGGAGGAAAAGGGACACTTGTCAAAGTAAGAGAGGCAACTATCAAATCAGGATAGAGGCACTTATCAGAACGTAAAAAGGGTACTTCTCACACCTGAAAATGGGCACTTATCTGAGGTGAAGAGGGGCACCGATTACAAGGCGAAAGGGGCATTTAGTACAAAGGAAAAAGGGCAATTGTCACAGTCAAAGGGGTCCCTATCAGATTTGAATAGGGGCAGTTATCAGAGGTGGAAAGGGGCACTCATTAGAAAGAAAAGGGGCATTCTAGGGCACTTTAAAAAGTGGGGGTACACATATAAGGAGAAGTAGAAGAAGAAAAAAAGGAGGAGGAGGAGGAGGAGGAGGAGGAGAGAGAGAGAGAGAGAGATAGAGAGAGAGAGAGAGAGAGAGGGGGGGTAGGAGGAGGATGGGAGGGGTGAAAGGGGGGGGGGAGAAGATTGCAATTATTAACAGTTATGCATGGTACATGTATGTGACTAAGAATTCCTATATACAGATTTTTTGTTTCAGCCATAGATTCCAGGTCATTTAACATTTCATCTGACTCTGTTTGAAGACATAGTGCTTTATGTAGAGTAAACTTGAAAAATCTGATATTTGTTTTGTTTTTTTAATTCACAGGATATGTTTCCTTCGATGAAGGAAGCCTATGGAGTACAGATCAAACCGCCGGAGAGAAAAGACGTGGCTTTGTATCAAAGGTATGGTAACGTTTCTTATCGATTTACAATAATTGGTTTATTTACAGCACTACATCCTATTCACAACTAATCAGAGTGCTTAATGAAAAATGAAATTCATTGGTACATGCAAAGTATTAAATCCATATAAAAAATACATGTTTAACAGAAATAGGTATATCTTAAAATAACATTTCAAAGCTTTTTCAGTGATAGCAGAGCGGGAGCTACCCAGTAGTCCCACGCAACATTCAATGTATGTGTACATGTCCTAGTATTTATAGTGTCTTGTATTTTTTCCCTCGGTTTTGGGGAAGCATATATGTAACAGTACATGTATATAGATACTGTGAAACCTGTTTATAAAGACCACCCAAGGGAGACAAGAAAAGAGGTCTTTATAGACAGGTGGTCATTTTGTAAAGGTACCTTTAGTAAATGTTCCAATGAGAAACCATTTTCAAGGGGGGAAAATGTGGTCTTTGTAGACAGGGGTGGTCTTTCTATACAGGTGGTAGCTAAAGCAGGATTGACTTTATTATCTGATTGTTGATAAGTGGGTTTGTGCCATGGGCCATTGGGTTCTTGACGGTATCATGTATTCAATGCATCTTACAGGAAAAGTCAGCATCATCGTAAGTGAAAATTCAGCGCAACATTTTACAATATGTCTCTCATAATTTCATTTGTAATTTGTGTAAACTGGTGTTCAAAAGCAGAAACAGATCGGTTGCTTATACTCAACATAATTTTTACTAACTTTCACACTTTATTTCTTTATTTGATTTTTATTTTCTCATGGTTTTGCGCAGGAGCACAACAATCTGGGAAAATGCTGGGTAAATGACGGAGAGATTATATGACAAAATATAGTTTTGCTGCTATACATGTACATGCTTGCTTTATATGTCCTTGCTTTGTAATCAAAGATATGGATTGGTTTGACTTTTCTCATGCTATGGATGTGGCGCTTTTAGTTTGAGGTTAATGGAAGGTTCCCGCAAGATTGAAATATATGTACATTTGCTTCTCATGAATGCTACATGTAAACAAATTATTCATACCTGTAGGCGTGCATGTACACGAACATTTACATGTAAATCATTAACTCTGCTTTGAAATTTGTGGTGTGTTATCCTTTCTATTCGTAGATTATAGTTCCTTGATTTACCAGAACATATTTTAAAGGCATATTATGATTTTTAGCAACTACATGTATTACCCTGTCATTAATTTTCATTTTAGAGTTCTCATGAAATTTCACAATTCTTTCATTTCCTTTGGATTTATTTGTTTTTATGATCCAACTTCGTAAAATGTCAAGTAGAATATCATTCTGAAAAATATATCTTGTTTTGAGGGGAGTAGATTATCTCAATCAGAAGAAATGAGAAAAAAAACCCACAAAATTTGACATACAAAAGGCATGAACAGCTGTCCATACTAAAGTGAATGATGTCACCAAATTTAAATATCACCCTCTAGTGACCAGTTATTCAAAAAAGCTTGAAATTCCTTTTTCTTTGCTCGATTTTGTTCAAATTTTCACTGATTTTATTTAAATCTTTCAAACTACAATAAAAGTAACTTAGTATAAAGGTTCTGGTCCCCTTTCATATTTTGGATATACATGCATGTATGCTGTATATTTCAAAGAATTCTATTTTTATACAAAATTCATGGGCATCTGGTCACATTTTAGTCATGCATTTTGTCTGCTGCCCTCATTGGCTCAAGAAGACCACAAGTGCTATGTATTGTCAATGGCAGTCCTGGCTTTCGTGTGCAGACAACGATTAATGCAAAACCTTTAGTAGAACGATGAGAAAACTTTAAGTAGATCTACATGTAGATGCGATTAAATGCTTGTGTGAAAGTTCCCCTACATTCTATGTGCATGTTCAGTGAACAACTGAATCATTCACACTCCTTGTAAATTTTATGTTTTGTGTGTGTTTTTTCGTAACTCATGAATGAAAGGTGGACTGGTTGTGAGGTAGGGATTTGTTGAATACTTTGAGATGTCAGCTTTTATATATCACATTCTCAATGAACATAAATCGAGACAAATCAATTTTTCAGATTACAGATTCAGTAAGGTATGAATAATTTAGTTGTTAACTGTATATATACTTGTACCTGTTTGCCACTTCTGCGCCTTATACAGTACCGTTGTATTACCGACTAAAACCAATATCTGATCTTTACAAACAATTAAATTACCGGTACCCCAAATAGCCAGGAATCGGTCAGTTTGGATTTTGTTTAGCCACGTGACTGAGGTATTGGTGATGGGTGCTCTTTGGATTTGCACCCATAAAAAGGGAGAGGAGAAACGGAATGTAAGATGGCGTCTCCCGCACCCTCTCCCTGAATTCACATCAGGTGGCTGATTAAGATACAGGGATGCCAATTTTCAGGCTCAGGCAATAGCATGAATTCAGGCCCTGGCAAGTTTTTTCAGACCATAGCCGTTTAGGCCTTTTTTGTGTACAAAATAGCTCATTCTAGGTGATTTTTGGGCCCTCTGATCACTTCTAAATGGCATCCCTGTAAATAACATGACAAATATTACTGTTTCAAAAGATTAACGTGATGTCTGGATAGGGTTTGCCCCAAAATATCCCATTTCTTGCTTTTATAGTAACAACAAAAATGGCTAAAAAACATTCAGAATGGACTCGAGCTGTAGCTGACGTAACACAATGTAACAAACACGATGGGGGAACCAGGAAGATTGCAGATATTGCAATTTTTTGGTCATCTTCAGCCATCGATCCTCACTGAAAGTGCCCCAATATGTCATCATTTGTATCAGAATAGGTAGACCAATCTAATCTAGATGTACTTGGAATAAAACTGATGATGATGAAGGTGTAGATGATATGATTATGATGATTATTACAACACAAATTGTACAAATATTGATTTACTTTGAAAAATGACAGGTGTTACGGTATTCAGAGATTTTCAGGCCAGCACCCAGAAACATTGATCTTATTGTTGTGACAATTCTATAGAATAATTCAGGGCAAGGTTTCTCCATATGTTGCTTACTGCTGTAGGAAAAGTTTGGAAGTTGGTGATAGTTTTGCTTGAAAGTATGGCTAAATTAAATATCATTGTGATATAGCTTGCATGTTCATCTTTGTTATCTTGACTTTTATATAATAAGATAAAGAATTTTGTTTGCCGGAACCCCTCAACTGATGAATGTAAATCTACATGTGGATGCAGTGTGCGCAATTCCAGTACATTCATTTGTTTATTTAGTGATATAGCAAAAAAACATATCCCTGTTTGCCATTCCCTCTTTTACATGCACAAAGTATTTGTATAAAGTAAACTTTTTGTGGTGTGGAATAGTGACAACACTGAGAAAACCCAAATAATGTATTGTTTTATCAATATTTGTCTTCAAACACATTAAAACTTTGCCATCAAGTTTATTGCAAATTTGGGGCTCCCAACCCTACAAGGGGCTTAAATCCCCAGTGTATTGTTTGTAGCTACTTGCTCCCTCTATATAGCAAACAATGTCTTATAAGTAATTATTTGTCTCCCATGATCCTTTTTTACTTATGTTAATTGAGAGCTGAGTTGATGAGCTAGCCACCTGTCAGTGACCACCCTGTGTGGTCTAATCCCTCCTAGACAAACTAGTACAGACAGCTTTTAAGTATAACTTTGGTTACATTACAAATAATGCCTAATAAGAAATTATCTTCTTCTTTCATCTTTTTCCCCTTTCTCAATTTAATTTTCTTCTTGATATCCTTCCAGGTTTTCCACTGTGGGACTCAACTCACAGCAGGAGGTAATGACTCTTCATTCAGACATCTCTGATTCACGCATCAAACGCTGTATGAAAAGGGCTACAAGGATGTAAGCATTCATTTTGCTCTGTACACTGATCTCTTATCAAATTGGCAACCCCAATATTTCCCTAATTAAATATGCTCCTTAAATTCTTCCGACAGACACTGGCTTAACTGCGGAATACCCCATTGTGCATATTTGGGTTGGGATTAGGATGAGGATTGCGATATTGGTGTTAACATTGGGTTCTCATTGCATGTGTGGTTGGGGTAGTCTGCATTTGTTCCCCAAATATGTTTTGAAATAGAACGCAAAAAACAGAACATGGATCCATTTGTAAAAGAAAATGCAGTATTGCCTTATAGATCTTTTCTGTAGATAAACTAGATACATGTAAAGTACTTGAACAGGGGGGTGTTTCACAAAACTTGTCGTCACTGACAAATGACAGTTGGCGGTATAAGCTACTGAAATCCTTGCTTCTGATTGGTTATCAGCAGATTTGTCACTGATATTTGTCATTTGTCATTGAAAAATGGCTTTGTGAAATGGGTTCCTGATGTAGGAGATCAATGATCAATCCATTTAGTCACACACAAAGAAATTTGCTTTAGACTGGCTTTCATATAAACCATAGCTTTTATCCTGATATTATATGAAGTATTTTAGATTTGATAATGATAAATATTTGCAAGAGTAATAACAATATACAGTGAAACTTGTCTCTTAAGACCACCCAAGGGAGACAAGAAAAGTGGTCTATATATTAGCAGGTAGTCTTTTTGTACAGGTTCCTTTAGTTCATGTTTCAATGAGGAACCATTTTCAAGGTAAACTAAAGATGTGGTCTTTGTAGACAGGTGCATGGTCACTAAAGCAGGTTTAACTGTATTTTTTCAATTGTTTTTCTTCAAGAATCCCAAGCAGCGGTTTCTCCTTGGATACGTCGGTGCGGGTGACACCGCCGACCGTGGATCGCGCGTCTCGAGCCAAGTACGAGGCCCATGTGCTGTGCGGAGCCAACGGTCCAAGACCCTGTTTGGCCAAGGACCTGAGTCGGTACAGAGAGTACTTCAGGGAACCAAGGCAGTTTACCAGGCATAAGTGAAGAGAGTCACCATCAGTAAAAAAATTTACAAAGTGCATGTTAATGTGTTGTAACGCATAAAGTCTCTAGACATCCCTTGTTTGACCTCAAAGTAACCCACTGGAATGAACTTTTAATCCTCGTCCTACTACCAGTACTCACCCCAAATTCTACAGTACCGGTATTCATAGAAATAGCGGGTGGGAATCGGATAAGAATCATTAAGTGTATGTCAATGTGCTGTAACACATAAAGTCTCTGAAGACCGTTGTGTGACCTTACTAAAAGTAACCCACGTAAATGAACTTTCAATCCTCGGCCTGCTTCACTCCCCCTCAATTCTACAATATCGATTTTAAAAAAAGACAGATTGGGAATCCCATAACCTTCAACTTTTCTAGAAAGCTCGAGCAGGGTCGCAGGATGTCACGCAAGAGACAATAGAACCATCAATATGCAACCATCTGGCGCCATCTCTCTTTTGTTCTAAGACAACCTCGCTCCACATCGTGTACCTCTCCGCTGTCCTCGTCCCCCCTGCTTGAAAGCACGAAAAATCAATGATTGTCTGCGTTAGGTGTGCATACCATGACCCATTTTTTCTGATCACGTATTTGACAGAGAGTGCCAAATTTGAAAACGTGACTGTGTACAGGCATTCTATCTCTGGTATTTCTTCTTTTGAGTGCCAGAAGGGCGTTTACAATAGTATGCAGAGATGCCCCTCTAGCTTTCAGCATATGATACAGTACATTGATGTTGCATTCTAAGGGGAAGTCCACCCTGGTATTAAGTTGGCTTTAATAAAAGCAGAGAAATTTGTGAAAGTTAGAGCAATATCCGATAAAAAATAGGAAAGTTATGAATTGTTGAAGTTATTATCAGTTAAAGCACGAATTGGTGACACTGTGACCATTTTATGCAAGGTCCTCTCCAATTTGCCAAGTACAGAAAATGTCATAAACATTCATTTTCTTTAGATATTGATGATGGAATAGATTTGTTTCATACAGGGGGTTGTATGAAAACAAAGTTTTAATAGGGTGAAAGTATGACTGACAGGGAAAATGAGAGGGGGCTTTCCAAGATACTTCAGAGAGTTGCCAATTAGTGTTTGATTGATCGCACCTTAAAAAAAATCATAACTTTGTTATTTGTAATTAGTTTTTTTCTCAAAATGTCACTGACCTGTTTCTTTCAATTTTCTGCCAGTGCCTCTATTAAAACTAACTTGATATATCAGGGTGAAAGAATCATTTAAAGTTTTTACATTATATGGCCACCGTACACCTGATGTATGCATTATATACTGTATTTACTTTTTCCATAGAATAGTAATGTTTTGTATCAATACTTGTTGATATTTTTCAAAAGATATTATCATGATGGTGTATTACAAGTAACGGAGGATTTATTGTTGTTTTGATTATCAAAATCTCAAATATTAATCGATGTTTGGTGTCTTAGGATCAGTACAAATTGTTACCTGGCATCATGGTATATGATGACAACTTTTTGCTTGCAAAAAAGGAATTATTAACATATAGAACACAACAGAAAAGAGTTTTCTCTTTTAACTGATAAAGGATATGAATTTGCCTTTCAAAACTATTTTTTGAAGCATTTTCTATTGGTTCACATGTACAGCTCCATTGTGTCCCGAAATATATTGATAGGGGGCCTATATATATATACATGTACATTGATAGTACATGCAGTGTCCCTAGCCTACTACATATACAATTTATTTTAATTTATTTGATCACGTTAAAACTCACATCACTATCAGCCTAAAAAGATTGATTTTTAGCAAGTCTATGTTACAAACATAAAACAGATCATATGGTCATCAAACTGAATTTAGGCACATAGGAAAAGGAACTTAACAATAACATATTTACACAAAGTGAAGAGAGTCGAAGCCTAATGTACACATTCGTGTTATTGAATTGGATTGAATTAAATTTATTGAACCATATACATGTAAAAGCAAACATACCATTGGAAATAGAATACATAAAACATACAACAATACAGAGCAAATATATGGTCAGGACCGCAAAGAAGCAAATCACCTTAAAAAACAAACTAAATCAAATATGATTCTGTCACCATACCCACCCACGCATGCTTGCACACACGCACATACACACGTACATACAAAATACTTCATACATGCATACCTACATAAAGTAAAAAGTAATCAACATGAACACATTTGATTTTTCTAAACTATACACTGTAATACTGTATTCGTATATTGTGTAACAGTGTAATACAAGCATAAACATTTATGATAAGAAGTGTGATAGGAATGAAAAAGGAACAATGAAGTCTATATAAAAAGCTAACATATTTAATGAAAATTACAAGCAAAGATATGTGATTTAAAAAGTGTCATTTGGAATAGATAGGGGTGGGGGAAGTGTAAAATGGGGATGGGTGAAGAAGAAATGTTGTCATTTTCCCAAATCCATTCTTCACATAGCTTACAGTTCATCTTTCAATTTGATGTAGTACTCAAATCACAGAAAAGTTTGGCAGTCATGAATCTACTTTCATCAGTTATCACCAACATAGCACCATCAGAATAAACATGAAATGGAAATAAAAGAATTATTGCATGTATGGGAATTCATGGAGAGACAGTGTGGGAAAAAATGAAAATCAACATATGTTTAGTCTTCACAATAACTCAGACTGTTTGGATTGATTACATCTGCAATATTTTCAGGTCAGTTATTAATTGGCCAATCAAGATGAAGGCTCGTGGATACGCCCCCTACATCTCCCCCTGACTGACCTTGTGCTGTCTATCTATTATGGTATCTTGCTCAAGCTCGGAAGTTGAGGGCAGTATTTTTGCACACATACCTGTTCTCTACAATTCTAGTGCATTCTTGCCGTGTTATTCCACTCCAATTAAGTCTTAATTGTCTCTTAGATCTTAGTTGGTTCAATCCTCCCCTCTAATATAGCCTTATACCCTCATATTTTCTTCCCAACATACATGTATCTTTCAAGAAACTCTATTTCTAATAATATGTCATGTCTGTTATCTGCTGATATGGAGATGTATGTACATGTATGTAGGCTAGTAGACACACCCCTTCTCGCCTCTGTCAGCCCATTCACGAAGTTCAGTGGACACGCCCCCGCCACTCTGCATGTATCGAGTGACCTTGTATTGTCTGAGCCGATTGAAGTGAGGGTTTTACAGACGTGCCTCCGTCCCGCCCCCCTATCGACCGCTTCATGTCTGCCATCTGTCAATCAATGTAAAGATGTGTGGATATATACCAGCACCTGTTGCCTGTCTCTGTGTGTCTATTATTTTCTCTTGCTCTTTTGTCTTCCCCTCGGCCTCAACCCGTACAATATAGGTCGTCACCCCCTGGATCCGATGGGGTCAGGAGTGCTGGGGATTCTGGTGAATAATCCTGCAGATATTGGTACATACACATAGTGAATCCCCCTTCTTAGAGCTTAGTGCATACCAAATATGAGGTTAAATGACAGATTTGATGTCAATTTATGATCGCAACTTAACAATACTTGGTCACAAACGGGACACGAAAATTACAACATATCTAGGATGTGATTTGTGTACAAGTTAAAAAAATTAAATAGTTATAATATGCATGCTCACATGCCGGCTCTCAATAATGCATACACCTCTGCCTCGAGAGAGTTATCATGCAGTGATAAAAATTGTCATTGGTTTGTAGAATTTGAACTTAAAAATGATTTGTATTTTCTAAATTTCTATAATTTGAGATATATGTATCATGTGCAATTTACTTTTTTCACTGATGTAATTATGTATCTACATATTGATGTGAAATAAATTAAATGTTATTTTTTATATAACAAAAGTACATTTGACAGCATGTATATTTACTTTTTGTAAGAATTTGATTGCCTTCGTGGTCATTATCTAGCGTACCATGAAATTGAATTGTTGATTTCAAGTTAGACCCAAGCCTATAGTATGACTAACGAGGAGGAAAACCGTGAGAAGGGGACAAAATAAGAACAAGAAGAAGAAGGACAAAAAAGGAGAAGAAGAATGAAATATATGAAGAAGCTGAGGAGGAGGGAAAGAAAAAGGACAAAAATATATAAAGAAGAAGAGAAAAAAAGATACATGTATGTAGAAGAGAAGGAAGAAAAAGAAGAAGAGAAACCAAGATATAAAGAAGGGGAGGAGGAGAGAAAGAAGAAAAAGAGAAATAAAGATATAAAGAGGAAGAGGGAAAGAAGAAAATTAGAAAGAAAGAAAGATGTATATAAGAGGAAGAGGGAAAGAAGTAGAAGAAGAAGAATAAGAAAGATACATATGTATAAAGAAGATGAGGAGGGAAAGAAGAAAAGAGAAAGAAAGAAAGATGTATAGAAGAGGAAGAGGGAAAGAAGTAGAAGAAGAAGAATAAGAAAGATACATATGTATAAAGAAGATGAGGAGGGAGAAGAAGAAGAGAAAGAAAGATATAGAGAAGAAGGAGAGAAAGAAAGAAGTAGAAGAAAGGTACACATGTTTAAAGAAGATGTGGAGGGGGAAGAAGAAGGGAAAGGATTATATAAAGAAGAGGAGTAGGGAAAGAAGAAGAAGAGAAAGAAAGATATAAAGAAGAGGAGGAGGAAAAGAAGAAGAAAGAAATAAAGATATAAAGAAGAGGAAGAGGGAAAGAAGTAGGAGAAGAAACAGAAAGATACACATGTATAAAGAAGATGAGGAGGGAAAGAAGAAGAGAAAGAAAGATAATTTATAAAGAATAGAAAGAGGGAAAGAAGTAGAAGAAGAAAAAGAAAGAAACACATGTATAAAGAAGATGAGCCTGGAGGGAGAAGATCAAAAGAAGAAGAGAAAGAAATATATAAAGAAGAGGAGAAAGAGGGAAAGGAGAAGAGAGAGAATTATTAAGAAGAGGAGTAGGGAAAGAGAAAGAAAATTATAAAGAAGAGGAGGAGGAGAAGAAAAAGAAGAGAAAAAAGAAGGAGAGAAAGAAAAAAAAAGATGAGGAGGATCGAGGAAGGAAAGGAGAAAAAGAAGAAGAGAAAGAAAGAAAGATATAAATAAGAGAAGGAAGAGGGGAAGAAGAAGAAGAGAAAGAAAGAAAAATACATGTCCAAAGAGGGAGCTAGGAGGAGGAGGAGGAGGGGGAAAGAAGAGAAAGAAAGAAATATATAAAGAAGAGAAGGAGGGAATGAAGAAAAAGCAGAGAAAGATTTAAAGAAGAGAAAGAGGAGGGGGGGAATTGAAAAAGAAAGATATAAAGATGAGGAGGAGGAGGTAAAAAAAGAAGGAAAGAAAAAAAATATAAAAAGATGAGGAGGAGGAGGGAAAGAAGAAGAAGAAAAAGAGAAAGAAAGATATAAAGAAGAGGAGGAGGAGGGATAAAAGAAGAAGAAGAAGAGATAGATATAGAGAAGAGGAGGGGAAGGAAGAGTGGGGGGGGGGGGGGGGGGTACGTAAATTAGAATGAGAGAAAGAAATGGAAACATATACAAGCTATATTGGAAGAGAGAAAGGAAACACAAAACTATACGAATTAGACTCGGAGGGAAAGTATAGGGATCGAGATTATGAAATGAATAAAACTGATGAAGGGCTATATGATCTTAACTGAATGTATTAGGCGGCAAAAAATTGTAGAAGCTAATCCGGTTTCAACTGATGATAGGCCTAATAATTATGTCTGTACGTGTATATAATTGTACTATATATTATCGGCCTGTTGGTTTCATCATATAAGTCATAATTAATAAATGCGTGCTGACTTATGCATACTTTAAAGGCTGTATAAGTGCTAGCTAGCTTGTTGCCTCTGTCTTTATCAGCCAATTAAGCCCCCCCCCCCCCTCCCCCTTACGCCGCCCGCCCTCCCCTTTGGCCACCATTTCCCTTCCTCCGTACGCCCCCGAATGCATGCATTACTCTTCTCTTCTTCAATGTGGACACATGCAGAATGTGCCAGAATTATGAAGTCATCGAAACGTGTATGTAATTGACCTAAAAGTGAGCCGGAAATGACAAAATCACAGGCTACGAACTGAAACCAGTATGTGTGTAAAAAAACGTTGTGTCCTTATCCATCCATGCATGCATACACAGAGGTTTTATACAGAAAATCATATACGCCCTTACAAGAGGAACTGAAAGTAAAGAAAATGGAGTAAACAACCCACCGAGTCTAGACAAATCAACTCGATCGAACGGTAAGTTTAAAGTCACTTGTAATTTGCGACTGCTTGGGTGAGGAATGAGTGTGAGAAACGTTCGGTTTTAATCAACTTTAAAGAAATCATAAACTTATAAAGTATGTCGAAAAGTTGATCCAGCTGCTTGTGTTGTGTGACATAATTATAACCAGTAGTTTAACAGTGTACTGCATGTCACATGTGCATACAAGTTAGTCTGCAAGCACAGACCCGGCCCTAATTTGACACTTTATCAAAAAATCATTGTGCCTTGAGAGGAGCCTAGCCCAGCTACCTACTGGTTGTGTGTCAGGAGCAGCTATAGTACACAGTCTATGGTATTCTTATAGTGCAGACTCTCTTTTACGACTGACCAGGGTTTGTGACAAGTCTAGATCCGCTACTGATATGACTTTCTCACTGCCATCACGCTTTGAGTGATTTACGGGAGTGGCATTTAATTATGGTTAGAAATTTAGAATTATTCGAAAAATGAATAAAATTAACGAAAGACAGGATGGTGTCTGGATGGTGTCTTAGAACGGACAGGACTATTCGGTAAACTACAGGATACACAAATTTGTATTTTATTGGGTTTTTTTCTTTTTTCTTTTTAATTCATTGTTTTGGTTATTAGAATTAAAAAGATAGGATTATTAGTAAATGGAAGAAGAAAAAAGAGAGAGAAGCCTATGATTGTTTATACTGTCATCCACATTAATTATTTAGAGAAGAGAGATTTAAAAAAAAAAAAAAATTAAATTAAAATTAATATTGGGCTGGTGAGCATAATCATGAGTGTATGGGTTCGTTGATAACGCCATCTTCGGCGGCTTGAATCAAGTGTGAATGGAATATAACAAAACCGTGCAGATTCTGGACTACACTTAATTACCCCGTTCCCCTCCCTATATGTAGATAAAAGTGATATCCTATAAGGAAAGGCTTTCCTGTATCATTTCACCATGTACAACATACATATAAATGTATCATTTGGACTGCTTCAGTTTGTGTGTACAGGACCCACTTACTGACAGGGTACTATGTGTAAATATAATAGTATTAGTAATCAATAGGTCGATCTACAATAAGTGTATGTAAATCTGTAAGCTGTTACATAGGCCTATGTAAATATCCGATTTGTTTGAAACGAGTAACAAATACCGGGGTGTTTTTCCCCTGAAATTGGAATGAATATAGATGAAAGAACATGTCGTTCAGATCAACTATAAAATATTAGGGATGCGATGGTCGGAAATTGCGTTTCCTGGTGTTTCTGACGTACCGAAAGACAGTCACAGTGATGTAGTCTGCAAAAACAGACTCTGAGAGCAATCTTTATATTATATTGACTGGGCTTGAGGGGTAAATCAGATATATTGACCAAGCGAATAGATCACATTGCCCCGAGTCGAGTGTAGTAGCGCTTCTAGAGCCTAGAGGCGACCAGGGGCTTAACCCACCCCCCCCCCCCGATTTGAATTCATGAATTTAAAGGGCAAGTCCACTTTAAAAAATACAATCAGACTAACCAATCAAACAAAAATTTTGACCAAAATCGGATAACTAACAAGAAAGTTATGAGTTTTAGATGACATGAAAAACTTGGGAAATCACAAGACAAATTGGCGACCCACTCATGAGTCTGTGACGTCATTGCCTCACTATCCACTATTTTTTTATTTTTTTTATTGATAATATAGATTTCCAATTTCCCCCTTAAAAATCTTTTTTCCTCACACCAGCATCCAAGTTATATTGATAGTAATATGCTTTTGTATGGATGCACTAATATAGAGTAATTGTTTTCAGTAAGACTAATCCGAAGATTAAGATACTAATCTTGATCTAAGGAAACACGAACGAACGATGAAAAATGTGAATTTTGATAAACTATTATTTAAAAATCAACTATTATAAATATACAATAATTCACAAAATAGTATCAAATCTTCAAAGTTCATAACGGATTTTGTGAATGTCATGCACGCATTATGATCCAAATCATATAACCTAGGCAAAGGCATGGAGAGATCAAGTTTTGGGGTATAAAAAAAAGGGAAATTAATTCGATAAAAATACATAGAGCAATTGATAAATAGTGAGGCAATGACGTCACGAACTGATAATCAAATTGGCAATTTGTGTTGTCATTTTCTAAGTTCCATACTTTTTCATTCTATACAAAAAATCATAACTTCCTTATAAGCTATCCGATTTTACTCAAATTTTGTTTCCTCTGTTTCTCTTGTTTTTCTGCATATATTAACTGCAAATTATTTTTGGAGTGGACTTGGCCTTTAAGCGAGGCACATGTACAAAATGAATACAAGACCTCAAGTCCCCCTCCCACCTGCATGGCCCCCTCCCCTCAAAGCTCCCCCACCCTACTTATTCTTATCGAATCAAGGTCATTTTCTTTATTCCTTTCTTTCTCCTTTCTCTCTTTATTCAATAGTTTATTTATCTTTTTATTTATTCATTTAAGTAACGAACGAATAGCATTGCATTGATGATAATGTATATTTAAAGAAGGGTTTAATCTGTCACTGTTGTCAATCATGGGCAGTGTTTCACAAAACCGGCTTTTAAAAGTAAGCTTGCCAACAATCGATAATTGAAACGCATGTATTTAATTTAATAAGCGTTTCAATGGGAGGTCGGTGACCTTTTACTTCTGACGGTTCTGTGAAACGCTGCCCAGGGGTTGTTTCACAAAACTTGTCATCAGTGACAAATGACAGTTTTTTGTTATAAGCTACTGAAATCCTTGCTTCTGATTGGGCATCAGCGGATTGGTCACTGATTTTTGTCATTTGTCATTGGTAAAAGGCTTTGTGAAACGCTTCCCTGAACGACATCCTATTGAAATGTGTCGCCTAGATTAGTTACAGAGAAACCAAACACCACAGTTTATGCTTTATTTAGAAATTCTGATGGTACTTGACATACTATTCAACGTACATGTAGGCCTATCATTATTATTCCCGTATTATTCCTAAGATTGATGAATTGGTGAGCCTGTATCGTAACAGATACTACAGATTTGCTTCTTATGGAGAACACACTAAATTAAAATCCCCCTTATCTCCTCTCAACTCTCTGTCTATCCGTCTGCCTGTCTGTCTGCCTCACTCAATCTCTCTCGCTCTCTCTCTCTCTCTCTCTCTCTCTCTCTCTCTCGTTCGCATCTTACCTAATTCCTCCCCCCCCCCTCCTGCTCTGTCTCTCCCTCTTATCTTATTATCTTCTCCAATATGTATGTAAAGCTCGTTTTATCCTCTCATACAATTGTCTTCCCCCCTCTCTCTCTCTCCCTCTCTCCCCCTCTCTCCCTCTCCCCTCTCTCCTTCCCCTCTCCCTTCTCCCCTCTCTCCTTCCCCTCTCTCCCTCTCTCTTTCTTCCATTCTACTTTCCTCTGTATCTCTCCCCATCCATGCTCTTCCATTCTCCCATGCCTCTCTGCCCCTCTATGTCTTCTTTCATTATCATTGAGGGACCTATATTGATGCTAGCTATAGATTTCAATGGTTGTTAAATTAATTTTGATATTGTACATGTAATTTTTATTTGTTTTATTTGTTATAGGATTTCCCGGCCAAATTCGCGAGTTTGTCATTCAAATTTATTTGTCTTGCGTTCAAATTCGACGGTTTTAGTGCAGTCAGGTATATCTCGGGTTTATATTCCCTTTTCTAGTTTTCAAATCTATGGAATTTTTGTTAGAATCTACGTATGTTTCATTCAAATTAATGAACAATGTGCTTCTTTCGCTATTTGGTCATTCGATTTGGCGCAACACGATTTTCTGACAACGCGACGGTGTACTTCTAGCATTCTAATTCATTTGTAGCATTCAAATTAGCACTTTGTGCACTTAAATTGATGGTCAATATACATTTCTCGTTTATTACACACTTTTTATAGCTCATTCTTTTTCTTTCAAGATTGTTTTTTCATGTGTATTTCATCATTTTTCATTTACTTGCATTATTTTATACACTTATACTTATTAGATTGATCTAATATTCATCAGCATTTAAGTTTGATTGTTAAGAAGTAAAAAACGACTTGCATCTACGGACCTGATGGTCTCACAATTTGTAATTGTTCATGTAAGGAAGTTGTTTGTCTTATGTTTCATCATAAATTTATCATAATTTCATCATAATTTCATTATGAAAGAAGGGTACAATATTGTGACTGGGGTAGGGACTAGAGTCAACAATTTGAAGATGACTCATTATTTAGCCATGTCTTTAGCCATCGATCTGCTGGCGGACAAGTGCACTCTAAAAATAGAGTGCAAAACTTTGCTGTGCAAAATCGCTGTTTAAATAAGTTGGGTAAAGTATTACCCAACCTTGTGCAAACACGAAGTCCCTTCGAAATTGCATTACACTTGCCATAGTGTCATATCAAAATTCGACTGTGCGCATTACCCGGGTAAGCAAGTAACGATGCAAATTAATATTTGAACCACGCGTTGGGTAAACACAAGTTTTGACACCTTAACGTTGGGATTATAACACAACTGATGTTAAAAACTATGATTGAAGCACTAGCATGGTCGGTTGTTACACATCAGCTGTTGATCGACTACTTAATAGTGTTCAAGATCGACAGAAGATGGACGACTTTGTTCGAAATAGACTACGATCATAGGGTATGCACTTGTGTCTTTCCGCAGCATTTATTTGCATGTATGCATGTAAATCTTCTCAATATGGACATGAAATTCCACATAATTCTGGACAACATGTTATTCACCTAATATTGTGTAATACATATAACATGTACCTTTCCAGCCAACTCCTCGGACAAATTTTCTTATTTTACCCAAATCTGTGTAAAAAAAATAATCATACAATAAGATTGGGTTAAAACTTTACCCAACTTTTGGGTAAAAAAATTTGGGTAAAACAACAAAGTAAACGAGTACCCAGGATGAGTTGGGTAAGAACTACCTAATGTTGTGTCAAAAAGGGAACATGGTTGTCGTTGGGTAACATTTTACCTTTTACATTATGTCAAATATATCGCACATCAGTTGAATAAAATATATAGTAAACATTTTCTGGGTGAATTTGTACCCAACCACCCCTGTGTCAAATTTTACCCAACAAACATGCATGTTCCCTTTTTACTCTCGTAAAGTGTAAAATTTTACCCAATATTGGGTATCTTTTTTTAGAGTGTAAGAAAAACAGAGGGGTGTGCTGGGTATAAGAGACGATGTGAATTACTTTTGTAAAATTCCGAGTCTGTAGTCAAAAGGGGCGATTGAGGGTACCCCAACCTTTCCCGGGTATATAAACATGACATATCCCTTGATTTCGCCCCTTCTTTACTTTATGTCTGACTACACCCATCTGCATTGTCCTGAAAATAAATAAATGGAATAACAGCTTAGACCCCAATGGCAAATCATGCATTTTAACTGCATTATTTAAAAACTGTAAAAGTTTGTTGCAATTCTTCCCCTAACATTCTTAACCTGAATAAAAAATATTACGAATACGAATGACAGGTGTTAATTTGAATGATAAAAATTACGTTTCGACAAGTGAATATTAATTTGAATGCTAGTTGAGCAGTTTCTAAATTGAATGACAGATCTATCAAACCCTTCGACCAAAATCCTAAATTGAATACAAAAACTGAAAAATTGAATGATAATTGGCATGGCAAAGCCGATCTGCGCTAACGTAAATGCAAAGTAAATGAATTCGAATGACAAACACGCGAATTTGGCCGGGAAATCCTATATTAGCTTTGTTATATTTTTTTTTTTTTGGCAGCCGCATAATATTATAAGGCTGCTATCAGCCTAAGCAATTTCTTTTTTCTTTTTTTTTCTTTCATATTTGTATAATGTATTCTGTTTTTTATGTATTTATCTATGCTTTTAGTAATTGCAATTGTGTGATACTTTGTGTACTGCTTTTCTACCCAATATGTGTTTTTTTTTACTGCGTGGCATAACAAATTGAATTGAATTGAATTATCCATGAATTTATCCAGTTTACTTCCCGAAAGTAGGCGTAGATGATGTGATGAATATGGAAAAATGTAGTTTAAATAATATAGGATTTCCTGGTCAAATTTGCGAGTTTGTCATTCAAATTAATTTGTCTTGCGTTCAAATTCGACGGTTTTAGTGCAGTCAGGCATATCTCGGGTTTGTATTCCCTTTTCTAGTTTTCAAATCTATGGAATTTTCGTTAGAATCTACGTATGTTTCATTCAAATTAATGAACAATGTGCTTCTTTCGCTATTTGGTCATTCGATTTGGCGCAACACGATTTTCTGACAACGCGACGGTGTACTTCTAGCATTCTAATTCATTTGTAGCATTCAAATTAGCACTTTGTGCACTTAAATTGATGGTCAATATACATTTCTCGTTTATTACACACTTTTTATAGCTCGTTCTTTTTCTTTCAAGATTGTTTTTTCATGTGTATTTCATCATATTTCATTTTCTTGCATTTATACACTTATACTTATTAGATTTATCTGATATTCATCAGCATTTAAGTTTGATTGTTAAGAAGAAAAAACGACTTGCATCTATACGGACCTGATGGTCTCAGTATATTTGTAAATGTTCATGTAAGGAAGTTGTTTGTCTTATGTTTCATCATAAATTTATCATAATTTCATCATGGAAGAAGGGTACAATATTGTGACTGGGGTAGGGACTAGAGTCAACAATTTGAACATGATTTATTATATTTAGCCATGTCTTTAGCCATCGATCTGCTGGCGGGCAAGTAAACTATGAACTCTTTAAGAAAAACAGAGGGGTGTGCTGGGTATAAGAGACGATGTGAATTATTTTTGTAAACTTCCAAGTCTGTAGTAAAAAGGGGCGATTGAGGGTACCCCCACCTTTCCCGGGTATATGAACATGTCCGTGCAGAAATGCCATATCCCTTGATTTCGCCCCTTCTTTACTTTATGTCTGACTACACCTATCTGCATTGTCCTAAAAATTAATAAATGGAATAACAGCTTAGACCCCAATGGCAATTCATGCATTTTAACTGCATTATTTAAAAACTGTAAAAGTTTGTTGCAATTCTTCCCCCTAACATTCCTAACTTGAATACAAATATTACGAATACGAATGACAGGTGTTAATTTGAAGGATAAAAATTACGCTTCGACAAGTGAATATTAATTTGAATGCTAGTTGAGCAGCTTTTAAATTGAATGACAGATCTATGAAACCCTTCGACCAAAATCCTAAATTGAATACAAAAACTGGAAAATTGAATGATAATTGGCATGGCAAAGCCGATCTACGCTAACTTAAATGCAAAGTAAATGAATTCGAATGACAAACACGCGAATTTGGCCGGGAAATCCTATACCTTACATTTAAATTGTGCTTCTAACCTTTCCCTGATTGTCATCACAGTATGATAGTATTTGTTATATACCTCACTTAAGAAATCCAGCCATCTGATTGGTCGAATTGCATTCATAAACTTCAACTGTTCCTGTAAAATTCTCGGTAACCATGCTTAAAACATTTCAATATTTTTAATAACCATGGTTATTAAAAATAGTTGGTCAGCCTCCATGGTTACCCCATAGGTTTACATGTTAAAAAATGGTTTGAGCGATGGAGGATGCCTTTTGTGTGCGAAGGATTGGTCGGTAATTTCAATACAATTGAATCTCGATCGATCTTACCGACAATTTTATCTTGCATTGTTGACATGAAGACGAAAATAAACTTCCAAAAACAAAAAACAACATCTGCCGATAGATCTTGATCTAAGTTCGTGCCAATATGCATTGCAAAAGTAAAAGAAGAGTCCGTATATGGAGCTTTTGCGAAGCATTCATCACACGCGAAGCCGGTTTCAATCCATTTTAATGTATATATTGGAGAAAACTGCCAGGTATGTTAACGGCGGGCCATAGCCGAGTGGTCTAAGCGTTGGTTTTCGGTACACCTCTTGTTGTACGCAAGAGTTCGAATCCCGTCTTCGACAAAATTGATAAATATTTTTAATTTTTAATTTTTTAGTCTATTTTTTTTCGGCATATAAAAGTATTAATGACTGCTTTAATATTCGAGAAATAGTTGTTTTCATACGCTCTCGGGAAGGTTACAATTGGGCTATTCCCCTCGGCAAGCCTCGGGGAATAGCACAATTCTATCCTTCCCTTGAGCGTAATAAAACAACTATTTCTCTCAAAGCAGTCATTAATACTATACTATATCATATTAAAATAATTGTACAACGTTATGAATTTATAGCCAAATCTGAATTCGGATAAAATGCAACTGAAATCTGAATTTCAATTTGTATTTTCAGAAAAGCTCCTGACAATGGCCACTCTTGAAGCGACCGACGCGTACCCTTTACGCAAGGTCAACGTAGAGGACGCTATCACTGACCTTCAGCTGATGAACATTGCCCAGCAGATTGGGCCTGAGTCATGGCGTATAGTTGGACTTGAACTAGGCCTCAGGTAGGATTATGCACTCTTTTTATTCATGTTTGATACTCTTAAAGCCCCACTGCACTACGTATAGCTACTTGCGCCCTATATATAAAGCAAACAATGCCTAATTGGTGCCTGTTGGTCTTATGTAAATTGAGAGCTGATTTGATGAGATAACCACCTATTAATGACCTTGCAGGTAGGTCTAATCCCCCTGGCCAAACTAGTGTAGACGGGCTTTAAAGGCGTAACAAGGGGGCCCAAGGGGAGCAATGTCCACTATGCGAAATTGAAACAAATTAAGTCATCCAGGGAACTTACGGGTCAAGACCTTTAAATGCTACCTCTATCCCTAGTCTGCAGGCACAAACCCTGGTCAGTCGTAAAAGAGAGTCTGCACTATAAGACTACCATATGCCATGTACTACAGCTGCTCCTGACACAACCAGTAGGTAGCTGGGCTAGGCTTCTCTCAAGGCACAATGTTTTTTTTTTATAAAGTGTCAAATTAGGGTCTGTGCTTGCAGAATACTCTATCCCTACTCCCAGGTGTTTGGAAGAACTCTGTTTCGTTATGTGTCAAATCCCTCCCCCCCCCCCCTCTCTCTCTCTCTCTCTCTCTCTCCCTTTCAGTCTCTCTCTCTCTCTCTCTCTCTATATATATATATCCTTTTCTCTCTCTCCTTTTCTCTTTCTCCTTTTCTCTCTCTCTCTCTAACTCTCTGATTAAATTATGCCGTAAAAAGGGGGAAAGAAAGATTAAGTTACGGAAGGGGAGAAGGGGGAAATGATATATGAGAAAATGAGATGAACGATGAGCCCCTCCGCCATCATCACTTTCAATCAGCGATCTTTTTAATATATCATAACTACTGAAAAAGCATTTTTTTTAAATGAATGACACTAGTCTTTACCCCCCCCCCCCAACCCCTCCTCCCCTATGATTCCAGTGCCACTCAGTTAGTTGCCTGTAAATCCATTCATCCCTTTTTCTTTCTTTTTTCTTTTAATTCTAAGCGAGAGCAATATACAATAAACGTTCACTATCAAAAGTATGGTATAGCCAGAATTTTTACAAAATTGGACTAAGAAATGTATTCATTTGCTTCATGCATTGCATCTTTTGAGAGAATCTTCACTTTCTATTGACTATCTTTTGCCCTAAAACGGAGCTTCAATTATTCCCAGATATGTAAATTATAATCATACATACTCTAATAGTCTAGAACATGGAAAGAATACCATTCCGACAATACCTTGACACTATCAACACGGGGCCAAGTCAAATAGTAAAATGTGGGAATTTTCTGGGACAAACAAATATTTTGGATTATTTTTTTGTTAATGTCTTCAATTGATGATCTTATACAGGGAACCTGAACTGGCCCATCTTGAGAGGGACCACAGATCCAACATTGCGGAAGGCACGTACCAAATGCTGATTAAGTGGCGTCGGGACCAGATGAACGCGGATGCGGCTTTCTGTAGTCTGCAGAACGCCTTGATCAACGCTAAACTGGGCGCTGTCGCCCGCCAACTTACCAGAGGTGAGTCTTAATGAAGAGAGTGCAATTTTATGACAATTTATCCCCCCCCCCCCCTCCCCAAAGAAAAAGAACAAACCAAAGTATTTACAAATAAAAACATTCTAGATCAGTGACTTAGCATAGGTTCATTAATTTGAGATGGTATTGGTCTCAGAAGATGGCATTCAAGGCGAAGTCTGGAAAGAAATGGCAAGAGATCAAAGAAGAATCTATTTCAGTAATCTTTCATTGTTCATTATCTACATTTTCTCTAATTTGTGCACCTTTTCACCAATGCACAACCGGCAGTGCTTGTTCTTTCTATTATCATCTATTATTGACCTCTATTGTAGTCAGAAGACGTTGGGAGTTTAAAAACAATCACTAATATTGAAGAAATGTTTTGAGTTTTACACAGATTAGAAGTTGTATATTTGATTATTTCTTATCTACTCAGGTTCAGTGTATGGCATTGACTGCATGGACGGTGGCGGTATCCTCAACACAAGTGGCTTGAAGGAAGATAACTTTGATACCCGGCAACTAAGAAGGGAACTCGAGATGAAATACCACTCTCATCTCTGCACCATGCGGCTCCTACCTTGGGATGCGAGATCAAGAGTCGCCGTCGATCGTTACTTTACCGACATTGGGATTTCACTGGAAGATACCTCGGTGCGGCAACACACGAAGATTTCCTTGGAACATCATCGCCATGACATATTTACAATCAGCGCGGCGAAGAACTTACCTACTAACCGGATCCTTCTTCAGGGAAATTCAGGATCAGGGAAATCGACGGTTGTTGCGAAGCTGGCGCTTGATTGGATTACGCGTCATCCAAAATCACTTCTCAAAGACCTCCCACTTCTGTTCGTTCTCCCATTGCATAAGTTGAACGAAACGTCGAATTTTGGAGAAGCTGTGCGAGAACATCTACTACCAGAGGACACGACGTTCACAGCAGAGGCCATCGAAGCATACGTGAAAGCGAATCCAAGAGAATCCTTGCTCGTTCTAGATGGACATGATGGGATGATGAAAAGCAAGGCGAAAGGTGATAAGGTTGGGAACCTGGTGAAGATCATTGAGAACAAACGCCTGACAGAGTGCAAGGTTCTTGTAACGTCAAAGTATTGGAGCGTGGCGCAGATGAAGGAATCGGTCATTCGAGAATATACCCTTCTGGAGATGGAAGGCTTCAAGGTAGAAGATACTTTCTCTTACATAATATCTTACTTTGAAGATGACGAAAAGATGGCACAAGGTTTGATTCGTCATATTGAAGCCTGTCCGGATCTGATGGAGAGCTTATGTCCGTGTCCTCTTTTTTGTTCCATCTTATGTCACCTCTGGGAAGAAGATCTCAGCAAAGGAGGAGGGATCGTCTGGGAACCAGCAGCCAGATGACAGATCACATCGCCCGCAGTCTATGGACGCACCTAGAGGCTAAGAACAAGGACGAAGATCTCAACGATGAATTAGGTAGTCACAGGCTTAACTCAGAGTCCACGCACAGTTCAAGGATATCTTTTCTCTGTAAAAGGTTGAGTGTTGTCAGGAAACGGTCGACGAAAAAAGGACTTGTTGGAGGAATTCCTAGGCATTCGCTAAAATCCACGATGTCCCGCCTGGGTAAGGTTGCTCTGGAGAAATTAGTATCAAGGAACCCCGATGGAGAGTTAGAACAGAATGATGTTATTTTTTGCCGTGAGTTCACAGAAATTGGTCTAGCAGCAGGAATTCTATCCCACAATCGAGGGGAAAGCAGTGGGTTCCCACTTCGGAAAGGCTTTCAGAGTGAAAACCTTAAAGGGGTGCGATTCAGCGACAAGGGAATGACGCAGAAGTGTGCAGCTGTCCATCTGGCATCTCTCTGGAAGAGAAACCATGCCAAATTCACAGAGGTTCTCAAGCACTTGAAGGACAAGTTTGTCGCTGAGGAATTCGAGATCGTATTAATGCTTGCTTGCGGTGAAGATGCTAATGTGGCAAGAGAAATCCTCCAGCACCTTTCTTCTGTTTCAGCTTCGCACGACCTAATGCTGAAATGCTATTTTGAGTGTCCTGAAGAAGTATCAGTAGACGAGGAAATGGCCCGAATATTTAAGGAAAAGTATTATGTGGCCCTCTCCAGCCCAGGGTGCTACTCACTTTCTGCACTGAAGTATTTTCTCAAGAAATGGAGTACGGATAACTCTGAAATCAGAAAACTGTTGATATCGGCTCTTCCCTTGAGCAGCATGCGGAGCTTTGTAGAGGCACTCGAGAGGGAGCGTTGCAGAAGCATTTCTACCATGAGCTTGTCCTGGTGTGACCTTGAAGAAACCGACACATCAGCACTGCTCTATGCACTTGGAAATCTTCCCTCACTGTCAGAATTGACCATGCCCGGTTCAACGATTGGACCAGGTTTCATCCAGCACATCAGTCGTCTGCCACAAGGATGCTTCGAGAGCCTGGAAACCCTCGAATTGCCAATCTTCACCGCTTGCGCCGATTCGTTCTTTAGAGCAGTTTTCTGGTCCGGTCAATTTCCAGTACTTCTGAGAGCCGTTCTCACCATCCAGGACATCTGCTCTAATAGCACTCAGCACAAGGATGATGATGAAATGGAGGAACATACGATTCCGACACACCTGCGGAAGATAACTTTGAAAAGCAGCAATCTCGCCCTCCACGGATCTCAACGCTTTGCTAAAACCCTCACCAATGCAACAAAGCTGATGGGCTATCCCTTATCAACTGTAACTTCCATCCCGACTTTTTTGGTCAGATCGGTGAGCTGCTGGTCCTGAGAAAAGTTGTCTTGCGCATGGAATCGTGGAAGGGACTCCACTTGGAGACTTTCCTGAAGAAGTGCCCAAGACTGAGTCACATGGAAATCAACTACCCATCTTCATCTCGGCATGAGGACGTGGAGGAGACGTTAGCGGTCATCCCTCGTATCTTGTCCAGTCTACCAGGCTTGAATACCATGCACGTTTCGGTGGGTGTCGGCTGCGACTTCAGAGCTAACGATGACACCTTGAAGGCGATCTGTGAGGCTTTGAAGAGCTGCAAGGCGCTTAACAGACTAATCATCACCGGTATTAAGATGAACACGCAACGTGGGATAGACATCATTCGTACCTGCCAAGGTACCTCCGTCCGAATACTTGCGTGAGTCTGAAAAAAGCATAAACACAATAAATACAACATTATATTCCACAAAGACATGTTGGGGACCTACAAGTTCATGTTTCGGCATCGATTGCTCTGGAGTCAAATTTTACACAAACCGAATTCGTAACTTCAACCCTGGGGCTAACACTGTATCTATCCCTCAACGGTAGAGTTATCTTAAAAACCCAAATGCAATCATGGCCCTGACCGGAGCAACAATCGCCGGGGTATGACTGTGTTAGGTCATCATTTTCGTACAAGCAATCGCAGATTCAAAGACACACAAAAACTAATCGAAAAGCAATTCCATTTTACTCGGTTCTACTAAAGTTACAATTTTCTCCCAATGAACATATTTGAGATGGGTTCATTCGTTCCAATCTTTGTAGGCATAACACATGCACGTATGATGCTAAACTTTTCTTTAATCGCAATGTTTAACTGTAGGTTTTCATAAAAGAGGGTACTGAGTGGCCGTTTTTTTTTAATTTCTCCTTCTTTTTTGTTTACAGTCTCACCGCATGTTTCCGACCAGAAGAAGATTTGACGGAGCTGAGGCAATTGCGTGATGAGGTGAACAAAGGCAAGGCAATGGTAGTTGAATGCTGAGCAGAGGCATCGTAAAGCAAGACACCGCTCTTCGTGTACCTCGCGCCCGTTAAACCTTGGACTAAAGGTTGTGGGGTTGGAGACGCTTGGAGAGAATCCCCTGATAAATATTTTCATCTAATTTTACAGATGAATCTTATTACAGACTAAGTAGTTTCATGCTGAATACGTTGCTATCCTTTCTGTTTCTGCAAGATTGTTGAATAAACTACCACTATCTTGAAGACTGCTGCATCTAACAAACAAAAAAAGGAGAAAAATAAACAACTTTTAGAGGCCCATCAATTTTGTTAAAGACCATGAATATTCATAAGTATTTATTGGCCTAATCAGTACTTTGGTGGTGTTTCATTACTTTCTAACCTTTATTTACAATATGCACAAACAGTAAAGAAAAATTATTAATAGGATTATCTGAATGAATTTAAGGTGCAACATTTACTATTAATCCATTTCCGGTCTTCGTTATTTTCTGCAGTGTCATTAGGTTATCGAGAAGATCTCACCATAAATTAAAAAATATGCATAGTCAATAGCGTATCTAAGAGGGATGAAAGAAAACAAAATTTGGGTTTTCTGTACAACAGAAAACCAAAATTATGTATTTTATAATCAATATTTGTCTTCAAACACATCTTTTCTTTCTTTCTTTTTTTTTTTTTGGGGGGGGGGATACCTTTGCAGAAGTGTGTCTTTAATGCCCGCCCCCCCCCCCCCACTCAGGGGTCGGAATGACCGCATGCGTGTTGCCAAAATGTCCGGTAAAGGGGTACTTTTCGTGCGACAAAGTCCGGCCCGAGAATTGTAAAAAAAAAAAAGGGGTGTACTTTTCACCCGGAGATTTCTTTAAAGGGATCCGGTAACTTTGTCTCAGATTCTGAAATAAAATTCTGGATTTAGCTCATGATGCAATGATAATTATAAACCTTTAGGTCAGTCAGGAACCCCATGACTTTTACAAGCCGATCGCCTGTCTGATTATCAAGATATTTATGATTGGAATTACAAATTTTGAAAACCGTTCGCCTGACGGTTTTCATAACACTACAGTCTATTGGGGAAAACGAATATGGTAAAACCAGTCACTCAAAGATTTTTACTTTTTTGAGGCACTTCTTGATCATTTTGAAGCGCAATTTTTTTAGGGCTTCAATATTACACCATATCACAGACACTGATAACACGTAGAGCCGTGTATCTCAGATTTAACAATGTTAAACGATCCCTTTAAAAAGGGGGTGTTTTTCCTTTTTTTTTCTCATCTCTTTGGACTTCTGAGGAGTTATTCCAAATTTAGGGGGGTACATTGAGCATTTTTCCTGATTTAGGGGGCCTCCAAGGCAGGAAAAGCCCGCAAAAAGCCCGCGAAAGGGGGTTCGGAAATGTTGGCAGTCCTCAGATAGGGGGTGCTTTCAAAAAGAGGGAACGAGCATATGCGTACCCTAAATAACACTGAGTGGGGGGGGGGGGGGCTTTAATGACATCCTCTTTCACAGTATGGTACAGATAAAGTGAAATTTTGCCATCACATTTTTTGGCGAATTCGGGCTGCCCAAACACTTTAGAAGGGCTTTTTAAGTCGAGTGGGTTGCGGTGCGTTGACGCTAAAACGAGTAGGACAAGTACCCTCCTCATAATTCACTGCTGAGTTTTCACTTATGTCTAATTTCGCTATTTAAATCTTCACAACAGCATGATTTAAAGCCGATTATTCTTAGCGACAAATATGAAAAACGCATCTCAACTTTTTCGTCATGTCTACATCCATGCATTATACATAAGTGATATTATACATAGGGCTTATACATAAGTGATATTTTAATCTCTGTCTGATGTTTCAAAATATAGAGTATTTACCCGAGGCGTAAAAGTGCTCAGAAGGTCACCAAAGTACAGTAATGTAGGTCAACGAGTTTAGGGCTTGGGGGCTGCACCCCCCCCCCCTTAGAATAAAAAAAAACAAGTGTTATTGTCTTGGTAACCGTCATTTTTTGTTCGGGCAGCGAAGTGCCCGAAAAACCGAATATCCTCATATTCGGGCGGCAAGATACCCTAATATCTCCATGCTTGGGCAGTTAGGGGCAAGAATATGACGGTAGTTTTTTAATTTTCTAGCTTGTGTATTTCCATGACGAAGTAAAACATTTCACCATGATAAAATGTCACTTTGTTTGGAAAATATAGAAAGTGAAATTTGATATTCGGGCAAGAGGCCTCAACTAATCTTGATGAAATGTCTCCGCACGCATAATTTTCAGTGAAGTATAGTTATATCAACTAAATTAATTACACACCAAAATATGTTTCGATCTTGTTGAGAAACGAAATGTTTTATTTATCTGTTAATAATAATCGAAAGTGTTTATTTTAATATTCTACTTGCCGTATATTTGTATGCAATGTCGAATCGTTTGTATATCACGATCATGAATTATATGCTGATTAGTTAGGTCTGTAAGATCCGTTTGCAATAAATGTATATTTTATTACAACAATAAATTACTGTTTCTCTCCTAATTCTCGTCACTATCTTCACTATTTTCACCGTCGTCATCATCAACAAAATAATCAACATCATCATCAACATCATCATCTGCATCATCATCAACGGCACCATCATTTTAATGATGGCCATCCTCGTAATATTTTTCCTTTTCTCCTTTTCTCATTTTTCCTTCCATCGTTCTTTCTTTTTCCCATTTGCAAATTTGTTAAGGTCGCCAAAAAGGAGGGCCGCAGCACATTCGCCCCCCCCCTCCCACCCCCACTTAGATCAGCCAGTGATGTATACGTTGTTGCAGGCAATACGCATAACTCCCATTTCTTCTCTTCAATTAAACATCACTGTTAAACCTAGTGAAATCAACCACATAACGCAGAAATCCGTTTGTGGATGCAACAAAACTTTCTCTTCTTAAACGATAGTAAAATGGAAATTCTTCATCTATCTTCTAAATTTAGACAAACAAATGAGTTGTTACCAATATCTGTTAATAATACACCAATTCATTGTGCCAAGACAGTTCGCAATCTCGGAGTTATTCTGGACAACCATCTGTCTCTGCGCAGCCAGATTAATACTGTGTGCCGCAAAGCATCATTTGCTCTTCGAAGAATAGGCAAAGTCCGCAAATTTTTGAATAAAGCTTCAACTGAAATTCTCATTAACTCTTTCGTATCCTCACTTCTGGACAACTGTAATAGTCTCTTCATTGGTACTTGTGATAAAGATATGAACAAGTAACAACGGATTCAAAACTCTGCCGCACGTCTGGTTTCCCTGCAAAAGAAATGTCGACACATAACACCCAACCCCAAAGATTTACATTGGCTCCCAGTTAAATTCAGTATCCAGTTCAAAATTATTTTGCTAACCTTCAAATCACTCAATGGTCTGTCACCAGAATATCTCTCTGATCTTGTCTTAAAATATGTTCCATCAAAGTCTTTGCGTTGTGCATTTTCAAAATCTCATCGTAGCTAAGAGAGGCAGAACAAAAGCATCTGGTGACAGGCAGGCGCGTACACAGGGGGTTGGGGGTTAAACCCCCCCCTTTGTTAATTTTTTGTGTGTACCCCCCCCCCCTAAATTTCTCTAAACCCCCCCTCCCCCCCCCCCCACCCCCCCCCCCCCCCCCCCCCCCCCGCCCCTTTTGGATTTTTTTTTTTTTTTTTTTTTTTTTTTATATTAAAAAAAATTAAAAAAAAAAAAAAAAAATTCCCATGGTTGACCTAAAAAAGCTGACCTTACCCCCCCCCCCAACGGAGCAAAATGTCAAATTTTCAAATTTCGAGACAAAAAAAAAAAGTGACCTCCCCCCCCCCCCCCCCCCCCCCCCCCCCCCCCCCCCCCCCCATATACATATATATCGGCATATTGGTTTTAATCATATACGTTATCATATACGTTATCATTTATAAGTGTGTGGTGACTTATCATACTACCGCTCCCTAGCCCCCGCTGCGTACAATCATGACTCAGTGGCTAAGCAATGGCCGCATAACTGTGAGGCCCCGTGATCAAAACCGTGACGATCAGCTATATTAGTGCCCTTTTGTGAAGCATTATTCCTCAGTACTGTCAGTTATAATTTAATTAGCATAGTAGCACACACATAAGCTAGCAGTTACTCAAAACAAACACTCGCAAATTATTATTCAATACAATCTGAGAATGTAGATCTATTAGGAATAAATAATTTTTAAAATCATTACATAAATTTGTGTAAAAATAATTATTCCACCTTCATGACCAACAGTGAATAAAGGCTGTAAAGTGCTAGCTATTTGTTGTCTATATCAGCCCCCCGCCCTCCCCTTCCAGGCTCGGATCCAGGATTTTCCAATGGGGGGGGGGGGGGGGGCGGAAATTCGAAAATTGCGCAGACAGTTTTTTCAACTCAACATACCAATACTGACAAGGTCATATTAGAAGCACCATACCGGTACCTAAAAGCAGGGGCGTCGCTAGAACTTTTTCATTTGGGGGGGGGGGGGGGGGGGGGGGGGGGGAGGTAGTGTAGAGGCAACCGATTACCGACAAAACTAGCCACCAATTACCGACAAAATATATTAATGCCAAAGTCCAAAAGTCTACAAATTTAACCCTATAATCCCGTGGCCATGCAGGAGCTAAATTATCTTTCAGTTAATTCCTCCCTCCCGCGCGAAGCGCGAAAGCTATGACATTTCGTTAAATTATTAGAGAAAGAAAACGATTAGTTGTACTGTTCTCGATTGTTAATCCTTGTCTGAATTCAGTTCCCCCCCCCCCCCCCCTCCCCTGCGAAGCGCGGAAGCTTTGACGTGTCATTGAATCATTGGAGAAAGAAGACGATTTGTTGTACCGTTCTCGTTCTCGTTCTCGCCTCTGAATCCTTGTCTGAATTCAGTTTTCGGCCCCTTCACGTTTCATTTTTTTATTATAGAGAGAAGACAATTCGTTGTACCGTTCTCGACTCTTAATCTTTGTCTGAATTCAGTTCCACCCTTCCCTACCGCGCAAAGTGCGGTAGCTTTGATGTTTCATTAAATTATTAGAAACAGAAGACGATTAGTTGTATCGTTCTATTCAATTCAATTCAATTCAATTTCGGTTTATTAATATCAACATATACAATGTACAATGCAGTAGTCCAGGGACCAATAATGCAATGTTTACATAAAATGTGCATAAAAACAGGAATGATCATATAAATGTACAATAAAAATGATAAAAGATAAAGTTAAAATTATTGCTCATACCTAAAGTTATATACATATATAAATAAATGATAATAGATGGATGATAATAAATGTTGAACCAGTTATTGCAAGTACAAATAATCTTTAAATTTAACAGTTATTTAAAAAATATATATACA